GAATGGGAATCGAATGCGCGGCGTATCTAAAAAATTGACCAGCATAGGGTGACTCATCATTTTCATGCAGAAAGAGGAAATAATGCAGAAACAACAATAAAATACACTGCGGCCATCTGAAAATAATCCAAGAAGTATTTGTAAGAAGTGGATTCCGACTGGAAGAAGAATTCAAAGGAACATCAAGGCGAGGGGACTCAGAGCCATATAGAATCTGTGCTATGACTTGAAGGAGCAGATGGATCCCTCTCAGTTCTAGCCGCAACTAAGTGACCCCAAAGGTGTAAGGAAAGAGGGCTTTGTAAATCTGAGCAGCAGTTGGTGCCGTAGGTTGTGCAAATGCTTGATGTCTCTAGCCATAGCAACGGCCACACCCCTTTCTGGAGACGCGTCCAAAAAATTCGGAGCAGAAAATGGAACTTTTCACGACATATAAGCACCAACAAATTTAAATAATCCATACAGCCCGCGAGGCTGGGGAGGCGGAAAGAAATAAAGCATTAAAGGATAGGATTTGATGTTGATCAACCCGTTTCGGGATGCGCTATGCTCAAATTCCATTAAGAATAGTAGTGGCTTTAAGAAGAATTAGGCCCAACCCCGGGCCAGGAACACAGCAGAAGCGACCTGTAAGAATTGAAGGCTTAAATATTGTTGTTGGCGCACGTCCCTGGATTTGGTTCTCGAACCGGGCATGTGATGAGCACCATCTACCATTTCACCCTTTCGTGCTCGGACAAATCTACCGTAAAACAGCGAATTCCGCGAAAAAATTTTATTTTCAAAAAACTTCACACGGACTTCTGCTAAATTCTCCCTAAATGACCCGCACACTTTGAAGGAGTATTCTGTGAGACTGAAGATCGAGAAGAACAGGATATCGACATACAAGGCGACCTTCGAGAGGGTGCGGGACGATGCGCGTTTCGCAGAGTAGTGTGCCCTCAGCGGCTCAGCAGGACTGTGAGAACATACTCTTCGGCTCAGGCCTCTGCACGTCCCCCGACTTGTAACCCTTCGACGTATGACTCCAGCTATTCACTAGATAGGCGTTAGCGTTGAAGAGGGCACCGTTAAGAATCGCATCAATACGAAAACCAACGGTAGGAAAGGGGGTCCATGGCTTCTGCCGTTTCACACGATTTTTTCTTTACCTGCACTACTGGCTACCTGTATCTTGATTTCTGATGATCTGCTTTCTCATCCTAACTCCGCCTCAAAATAGACCCAGTTTCCCTCGAAATTACTTTTTAAATTCCATTAAAGGAAGCAGTCACGATAATTTTCATGGCAACGATAAGGAAAGCTATGTATTGGAGTGGATAGAGGTCCTGCCCAATGTTAGAACACGTAAAGTTTCAGTGGCAGTGGCCCCTTATCAATGAAGTGATAAGGAGCCGAAATTCACTCAAGTTCAGCAAAACCCAAGACTTATCGATGTGGAAAGGGGTGCGATAAGAGCGTGCTAGATATGATACCGTTATCGTTATCGTCCCGTTTTCATTCTGGAGTGCACCTCTTATCAAGCAGCCGCACCTTCTTATCTCATCGTATCATATCTTCCATGGGCTTACACTCGTCCAACAATTACTGCCTCACACCTTATCGATTGATAACGCGAGGGTAGCAAATCCAGCGTGGAAGCCAGCGTGACTGCTTCCTTTAACTTGTATCCCTTCCCTTAAATAGCTATTACTACCCCATATCGGGGAAATTTTGACGTTGGCTCCCTCTTGACTGTTGAGGCATAATCGTGCGCTATTTGCTCGTCTGCTAACGACTTTTAGACCGACCCAAGATAATTCTGAATTTCCATGGATTTTTAAAGGACAGGGCTGGCTGGCTTCCAGATGGAGATGAGTTCCACGCGTTATCAACCGAAGACTCAAAGTAAGAGCTCGGACAGCGAATGGTCGGACAAGCGTAACCCCATGGAAGATTGATATGATAAGTTGAAGATAAGGGTGCTTGGAACGAGGTGCACTTCGGAATGAAAACCGAACGACCACGATAACGGCATCGTATGGAGTACGCTGCCGTTGCAACCCCTTCCATGTCCGAAACTGAGGTCATGGTAACTTCCGGTTGGTCTAGCGCCTAATCACGCCATTGATAAGACGCCATTGCCTCCGAAGTGACAGCTATCTGCTCATTGGGTGGGACTCCTCCTTTGAAAGGGCATAAAACATATGTCGCACAAAAAGATCGTACCCGGTAATCAGAGATTTTAAAATTAGAACATTGGTCGCAATGGACGTTTCACGCAGGCCTGCAGCTCCAGGTAGGAAGCTTTCTTCGACCAAGGACAACGACGTTACGACGTTATAACATTAAAGATTTACGAGTGTCATTTCAAATACCATTAAAGCAAACGAGTGCAATTTCAAACTACCATTTCATAGAGGGGATGAAAGCGAGTTTTATACCAGTGGCTACATGACATCAACAAGAAGTGGAACTCATTCTCACATAGCGCCTACTTTTAGTGCGAGCAGAGGCGTCATCGAGTTCTCGTAAACAGCTTGACGACCGATGAGCGGGCAGATTAGTTTATCTAAAAGCATACGATGATCCAATGAAATCCCTGGGGTCCACTTCTGTCCACAACTCGTAGGCGATTTACTATACGAAAATCACAGGAATACTATAAGCGGTGGCATTCTCGCAGAGGAAAAATCGATTAAATTCAAAATTAATTCATAGCAGTCACATACTAATAATCAAATATTTATGTAAAATTTGCAGAATTTCAACAACACCTGTAATTAATATCTGAAACTAGAACACAAATGGCGGTGCAATACAAACACAGACAAACTGATCACTGACCTTCACCTACCCTATTTTGAGGTCTTATTAAAAAAGGAAGTGAGTATGATATTGATTTTCATCGAATGCTATGAAAGTAGAGATGCGATATGGTGCGGCAGTGAAGAGCAAACCAGAACAGCTCATTGAAACCCCGAAACTTGGGACCCTCATTCTGCTCGTTGACTTTATACGAGTTTGCGGCACAAATACTGACCCTTTGGATGGATGGGATGCCCAAAGAATATAAGAGATAATAAGTTTGAAACATATAGCTGAACGGTTTAAATTGCATTTGCGTAATAAAAAACAAAGGGTAGTCATAAAATCAGTGCAAAAGTCAACATCCACCGCTTGGAGGCGGGCAATTAATGAGGTAGGGCAGGACTCAGGTTGGAGCCTGCCTAAACCGCGAGCATCTTCGTGCGGAAACGATACGCCACCAGCTCCTGCTTCCACTGATGCATTATTTTCCTTGATGAATATTCAGTATCGTACTCACTGCCTTGAAGGTATAATACCGAAAGAGCAGAAATGTCAGTCCTGTGCTTGAAAAAGTTGAGATGGATTTGCGATTTGGATACCCTACTTTTCTGAATACAGCACACACTAGAATTGAAATAATGAACACAAAAAAGCCCTGTATCCGCATCATCGCAGGACCAGCACAGGTCATGCAAGATATGTGGCGCAGGCAGTTAGAAACATCACAAAAATACCCGTACTTCAAAATATTGAAGGCCTAAAAACGAAACCGGTCTAGTTCAAGAAGATTGCTTCAAAATGAGTTTTGATTATTCCGAGAGTCCTTGATTGAATATCGGCAAGTGACTGTTGATTGGACGAAGGCGGTAGAAGAAGACAGAGCAAACGTGAATTCACCTGGAACATTAGGGAAAGACTGAAGACCTACTGTGAGACGAACTGAGAGCATGGGAGTCTGACCTCTTTTCAAAGCTCAACGAACTTCAAGCGAAATAGTAACAGTAATCAAAAAAGCACCTTTTTCAAGACTATCCACCAATCTGACTCCGATTTAGCAAAGCATTCCCCAAATTCGTCCGCATCAGGGAGGAAACTGGTGAGCGAATTGCACACCAACCTATAATACATTGCATTGCAGCAGTGCAGCAAACTAACAATAAGCAGAAGTAGACAGTAATACCTACGCTTACACGTAATTGCTCCAAAAACTATTACTTTTCAATACTCTCGCTGGATCAATGAGAACTATTTATTTTTGCATAACTTTTGATTTACACTCTCTAAAACTAGAATTCGGTTTTTACTTCATGGTATGGTGCGTAATAGATTGCGGATTTACCTACTATTATCGCAACTAGCAGAATCTCTTACAAACAAAAACTTGAGCACAAAAAAAAACAAAAATTATGTATAAGGAGATAGAATATATTCATCTTTCACGCGAATCTTATCAAAATTAAAACATTTTGCACAGTCCCACCGTAGTTATACTCGATATCCGAGAGTTGGGGTAGGGGTGTTGACGGAAGCTATGTGGATAAGCTGCTTCCAACATACATCGCTGGATATCAGCAAAGCATGCTGGCAACAGCTTATCCACGCACGTGACTTCCGGTGACACGCCTGTCCCAACTTTCGGATATCGACTGTACATTGTAGGCAGGAGGTACCGCATACCATGAATACGGTCGGGGATCATTTCCGTACGCGAAAAGTACAATTGAGGGTGTACAGCTCTTTAAACGTTTTTATAATTAGTATAGAAGCGAGTGAGAGATCACATTGCTCAAAAGGAAAAGCACGAATGCACCTTTAGGTAAGCACAAAATGGAAAGTCATGCTGGCCGCGATTTTGACGTCAAGTGCACGATACTAGCTTACGAGAACGACATCGGTGCTAGAAAGACCTTTGAAGCTTTCTATAAAGGCAACGCAATCCATGCCTGAATAACAGAAGTGATGCATCTTCATAACCGCCGCTTTCGTGACCTTTCTCTGTGAGCTATGATAATGAGGAGGTGATGCACTGCAAGTATACTCCTTGTAATCAGTACACGACCGGCTGGTCTCATTCTAGTGTCTCTACAAGTCGCTGAGGGAGAGCGAGTCATTGCGCTGGTGGAATTGAAGTGAGTAACTGAACGTTAAGATTTACACCTCCTGGTTCATTAGCATAGCTGAGGACGCAATCTTAGTCGGTCTAGACACTTACCGATCGTCATCCTCTGACACGTCTGACGCTTGCGATCGTTGGGATCTTCAGAATCGGACGACCGACTATGAACGCGCCCTGGCACTTGGCTAACTGCGGATTCGTGGGCGGATAGGTAGCATTCGAAAAAAATGTTTCGAAATGCTTCCAAGCTTTTGAAAACGACAAAACTGTCGAAACATTTGGCTTAGTAAATATCCATCACACAAAACCTGTTCGGTACAGAAGTTGACTGTTCAATTAGCAATAGAATTTCATAAAAATGATTCGCCGTCCGGAATCACGCTGTCCCTCGTACTTTGGTCACGAACTGCACTATGTAAACATGCAACAATGTTGAAATAACAATGGCATCCGATATCATGTAGTTCCACGAGGAAATAGAATTATGTCGAGGAAAACAAATAAGCTAACTTCACAAGCAAATCTGTTTTCAGACCTCAGACTTGGTGATGCCCATCAAGCACAGGAAAGAGAGAATTCATCGACTGCGAAAATAGTCCAACCTGCTAACTTCAGGAGGAGGTAGAGCTGGCTTTGGAGTATCTCGCGATTCTGTGAATGACGACGTAAGGCTTAACGAGGCTGGATTGAAATAAACATAGTGAAAGTCAGGCGTTGATAGGACATCAGGATTTTGTGCACCGATGCTGAATTACGACCACTGCATTTTCGGATAAGGCAGGTAGAAATTGTTAATACATAAAGTAACGTATATAGTACAAGTAAACGATAGTAAAAATCTCACCAATCTCCTATTTGCGAAGCAACTTTACTTAATTCGCTGGCTAGATACCCATCAATATTTCTCAGCAACAATCTGGTAACTTCTTGATTAGTAAACATGCAGACTGTAGCATTTAAGCAGCGATACACCATCTGAAATACTTATTTGGAGAGTTATTGTGACCTCAGTTCCTTCGGAAACTCATTGGTCTCCCACCATATTGTACTTGACGAGTTCCTCGTTATCTTCGTCGTCGACAGCATTGAAAAGATGAACTGTTGGAAGAGCATCATCTCCAATTAACGGCGCATCTGTTGAGAGGTCGGACGGTCCTCGCAAGAAACGACCTTGTGTTGAACTAAATGAAAGGATGAAATCATTCTGACGACTACTATAGAGCAATACCGTACTCACCGGGACTGGTAGTCTAATTCATCCCCAATGGTCATCGGCAGGAGACTTTGAGTGAGATAACGGAATAAAGATGGGAGATCACGTCGAGATAGAGAATAGTATAGCACTTTATCCTTTAAACACATAGTGAAAGCAAAACGTATACCTCCATGTAAACATGGAAAACTGGATATCCGCCCGCTGACTAGGACCTTTCTGTTTATGAGCACTCTTCTCTTCAATCGTCACTCACAAGGACATATTAAATGGTCACCCAGAACATTCAAAGGCGGAGTTTAAGATGAGGAGACAGCCCACTAGGATATATCAGTGATACGGGAATGAAAAAAAGCAAAGCAAAATGGCAAATGGTCAAGAAATGGAATCCCCTTTTTGCACACTGGTTTGCGCGTTGGCAAATCTCGTCGGTGTTGCCCCCAAAAACGCTAACTTTCTGCGGCAAAGCCAGACGGCGAGGATCAGCCAATCGATGAAAGTGGAGTGGCGCGAGCGGCGCGGGTACGGCCCTGCTAAACGAATGGATTCGTACCCTTCGCTGGAAAATGCACTATTACACACACACATGGGAGGCCTAGGTAGGCACTCCCGCTTCTTCGACTTCCGCTAATTGTTGAATCTTCCTTTGGAATGAAATGTATACGTATATAGGTGCCTCAAGAACTGAGTTCAAATACTCTCGTTACCTGCGAATGGATTTCGTAAATAAGTCATGAAGGGGAAAGCGCAGCGTTAGGCCGATGTCAGACTTTGCGAATCGCGCGATTCGCTAGCGTCTGCGGTCGCGTCGCGGCCAGTGAATCACTCAATTGGCTGGTACCGCAACGCGACCGCGGACGCTAGCGAATCGCGCGAATCGCTAGTAGCGAATCGCGCGATTCGCAAAGTCTGACATCGGCCTTAGTGCCCCGACTCACAGGCAAGATGTAGTGGGATGGACTCCACGAGGGAACCGTACTTTTGCTCTATACGGAAATGTAACAAACTTTTGAAGAAAAAAAATGAAAAAAGGTGGAGAACCAGGGCAGCCTGCCACTTTGATTGCTTTAAGCTTGCAATTTAGAAACAACCCAGACAGCAGGTTTTCCTCAGATCTCCAGAAACATCACCAATACTACGAAATTATTAAGAACAGACCTGATACAAGATGAGAATCTTCTGTATCACTGGAAACTCTTCCATCAGTTCGGATGACATTGATACCACGTTTAAGTATGTGGGCCCATTAATTTTCAGAAATGCTGCTCCATTCAAATAATCCAACAATGGCATCTTGAACGAGGCAAATATAACAGTGATTTGCAAACCGAAATTGAGAATCAACTACTAACCCTGTGTAGTTTTAGCAGAGGAAGGTAACGACCCAGAAAATACTCAAGGCGTTCCTTGAACTTTTGCTCGTTTCTCTTCCTGAAACGAAGACGCAAAGGAATTACATCAAGTTTAGCCAGTTTTCTAGTCATGCTTTTATCAACTCCCGATCCAATATTGAAAACTTCCCTTTCCCAAAGATACTTCTGAGATAAAAGTTCGAGATGATTCAGAACCAACCTAAACGGACTGAATTCTCCGAAAGAAAAGGCGAAACATCTTGTAGACGTCTGTTAAAACGTTTTGGATTGCAGGTAGAAAGACAGAATACTTCAACTGCAGCGTACTGAATCCTAAAGTAGGATACTAATCAAAGGTAGCAAAACAATTTCAATAGAAACATTACACTTTGAAAAACGACACTTATCAAAACCAGCAACCTACTTAGAAAGCGCAAGGCCAATAAGAAACTCGCAATCTTCCACTTGTATGTAGACATGCTCTGACTTCTGCGTGGATACAGTTCGAAAAGGAAATTCAGGTTTCTCTGCCTGCTCTTGAGGGCTTACGAAATTGTCCGTAAAATTGACAACGGCTTCCGCAAATCCAGTAATCTCTGCCTGAGAGTAATTGAAACAATAAAGTGAAATTATTAAGAAAAGATGACAAATTGGAACAAATATTAATTGTGATTAGACAATGCGTGGACGTGTTTCCAAGTCACACCTCAGCTGACTGAGCACTAAAAACGATCTGAGGATGCCGTAATCGTCCCGATTACCTTAACCCTTTCCGGACCGCCTGACACACATGGTGTGTCAGGAACTTCAAGAGCTGATTTTTCCAAGAGTTTGGTTTTTCGATAAAATATTTTATGTTGTTACATACCTATGTAACAGACTCATGCCATATGTATGAAAAAACCTAGACTTTAGGTTTAATCTAGGTTCTAAAATAACCAAAGAGTAAATGGACTTCCACTTTGGGCTCAAAGAAAACAGTTGTAGTTCGCTTGAAAACACTTAAAAACGAAGAATTTGTGAAATATCCTGCTCGTCGTATCTGATTCTTATGGATCCAATCGTTTTTGGCACGTTCTACTCCCTTATTCTCCATACCAATTTACTTTGAACGATTTTCGTCCCTTCCTCCCTTTT